TATAATAATATAAAGATTTTCATCAAACAAAATAAAAATTAAACATTATTATTATCTAGAGCAAGAGGATAAATACATTTATCACATAAAAATAATAAATAAAATTTTGAAACAAGAAAACTGTAACAAGAAAACAAAGACGTGTTTTTTGAGTGAGTAAGAAATAATTGTATTCTTTAAAAAGTCATGTCGCTTTTCAGTTTCATACTTACTTTAAAGTTTTAAATTTAAAAACAACAAATTTAACACTGGACTACTATCCAATCAATCAGCACAACAGTGAATGAATATAAACCACTGTTTTTAAGTAAGACAATAAAAATATAATTAGACCATTTATATTTTAAAAATTTCATGTCAGCTTAAAAAGAAATAATTATAATAATCCATTTTGAATGTGTAGTAACTTTGAGTAACTTGTTAAAAAAAGGTGACAAAAAGTGACTAAATAACAGCGATATTTTTATTTATTAGATATATAAAGAGAAAATATGCGCGAGACTTCCAGAATGTACGCACAAAAATCCATGATCCGAATAAGTCGATGCTACGAAAGTATTTCATTAGTGTTTCGAATAATTGCGAGCGAGACTATTTAATATTCAATTTGCGCGCGTGCGGTGTTTATTAAGAAACGTGATGAAATGCTAATAATGCGGAACGTAGGAATGACTGTTGCATACGAAATAGAATTCTGCCGCCAATTAGAGCGGCTTTCGTATATAATCTTACTTATACTAATTGGCAATTTGGCGATAATCTCTTTCCGCGCGTAGATTTACAAGCCGGATATCCCCGATATATAGGAAGAGGAACATATATCGCGGACAGAGAGAGAGAATCAGCGTTAAAGCCAGTTTATGTCGACTTAATCAATGACACGCGTGTTTTCTCGTTATCAATCGTTTCACGCCATCTAACATTCTTTTCACATCATCAGAGACCAATCTATTTGGCGACACGTTCATTTCTATGGCATCATCGGCGACAATCGCGTCATCGCGCGCGACGGATATCTTGCTCGAGCAAGTAATGTCTTCAGTTATGTGCCAAGATTGCCGAGGGCAAGTGTTAACGACGGACAAGCAACCGTTGACGAACGGCAGCATCTGTGAGTTCTTCTTCAGTTTTCGCATCGTCGCTGATTGACGACATGTGCCCAACATCGTCCGACACGCACATGTCTCCAAAGAACGCCAGTCAGATAAAACTCGGCGTTTCTCTCCGGAGAGGCAGCCACCGACTGCGATAATGGCTGGGACACATACTGGCGATAAAAAAAAGAGTCAGTTATGACAGAGGCAACGTCAAGGCCACGTATTGTATCGCAACACATGGCGAAATCACCGAGGAGAATATGCAAAAATCATGGGGACTTTCTATCATTTCATGCTCGTTCTATTTTACATCTCTTTATCAAAATTCAATACGGAAAAGACTTTAGCAAAATTTAAAAATTTAGTTAGATATATATCTGAAAATAATGGCTTGGATCAAAATAATTATGTAATACATTCAAATTAGTTGTTAAAATGTCACAATTTTTGCGCAGCATTAATCACTATGCTTAAGATTTCTACATAATTATTTTAATGATCCAACAAAGAGTTGTTTCAAATCTACATCCAGCTAAATTTTGTATACTTCAATGAAATCGTTCTTTCTGTGCATGAAATTGAAATTGATTAGGAATTAATTTGAATTTCATTGAAAATTTATAAGTTTTATCTATATATAAGTTTATCTATATATAATTACTTATAATTACTATAATTATTCATTATTATCTATAGCTATATAATATAATAAGTTATCGTTCTTTCTTCACATAGAAAGAACAATTTTGTTGAAATATCTAAAAATTTTGGAAAATTTTTATTGGACCATCAAAAAATGTTTGTATAGAAAACTCAAGCATGATGAACAATGCTACAAAAAATTTCTATATTCTAACAATCAGCTTGAGCTTTATTTTCTATTACAATTATTTTAATGGTCTAACAAAATTTATTTTCAGATCCGTATTTAGTTTTTTTTATATTTCAGCAAAATTGTTCTCCAGTCCAGTTTTTTCTGTGCAAGTTTATATGATTTAGACAGGAATGGTAACGTAATTTTAATTAATTTTTCTTTTTCTTTTTAACAGACACCTCTTCGCAAATATATCTATAGATGTGAAATTTGGACTAATATCTACCAGGCATGTCTTTTCGTGTTGAAAAGAATTCGTCGCGATTAGAGAAAATTTATGTCGATCCTTGAGAGAATCACAAGCCACTATTGCGAAGTGTATTTGACGACGTGTTATCGCAACATTAAATTTGTTGGATCGAATCGCGGCATTGCGCTCGCCATAAATTGTCGAAACGAGGCTATCGGACTATCGGCGTTCGTCCTTAATCGGACGTGACACGATCGCGCACAATAGGACGTTAATGACGAAGATAATCCGAATTGTCGTAAAGGCAGAAAATGGGACGGATAATTTCTCATCGGGAGGTACAACTACACAACTGTATATAATTCGCAGTATATTTAGAAAAGCTTGTCATTTGACGTCGATAAAATAAAATGTAAAAATTGGAACGGAAGTAATGGCAATGGATTCATTTCGCCGAATAAAATTCGATCTCGACTCAATTCGCACGTTATAGCCGCACGATGATTCAAAACCAATAGTATTTCGCTTTTGCGCTTTTGCTGGTCAATTCTCTGGTATGATACCTCTGGAATGTACCATACCGGCACATGATAGAAATTTGTTTTACATCTGGCGGAACTTTGAGCGATTCGAAAGACGCGTGTAGAAATTTCTTTTTTCTCCCTTCTTCTTCTTCTTCAAGTGAATGTACGCGTCAATAGGGTGCCTTGACGCATCGATTCGCGATGCGATTCGCAATGCGATTCGCAATGCGATTTGCAATGCGTTTTGCAATGCGTTCTCACGCGCTCTCACCTGTATAGTCGGTATGTCGGTGATGACTTCTAACGTACGATGGTGCGGAATGCCTGATCTGCTGCATATCCCAGTATGGATTCCGGCTACTTCCGAAATTGTTCACTCTCGTCTGCTGCGAGGGCGACGACGATTGTTTGCAGGGTAGCCGGGCCATGGCAGTCGTCATCTTCTCTTTCACGGGATCTAAGCCGATTGCCTCGTAGACGTCCCGCTCAGTTTGTTACGTCGTCGTCTCAACCCCATTTTCAAGCTATTGTTTGCTCCCTGAAATAAAAAATGATCGTGAGTCATACAAAGGGGAATATTAATAAATAGGTTCGATCAATGTCAATATTCCACCAACGTAATATTAATTTTAATCTTTTAATTTAATGTATAAAAGCTAAACAGTAAATTAAATCGGGATTAATCTTACATTGGTGGAAGCGAGCCTTAATTATGTTATTATTGGTAGTGAAAATTGAGTAAATTTCATGCATTATAAATAGAATTATAAGCGTAAAGAACTGGCTGAAGTGCCGAGTGGGAAAGTGCCAGTTCATGCGCTTAGTTTAATATTTATCAAGCTGATTGCATTCAATGCTATCGCAGCCAGGTGTCTTTCATTACCACAACATCGACTGTGTAATGCACGGGCTACCCGTTTGCCTCACAAAAGAATAAAACGCGCGCGACATCGGAGAAACACCTGTATTAATCTTTTTTACCAGATCCTCCCCTATCAATAGCCATTCCAATTTAGATTGAGAAGGGTGAGTCACTCCTCGACAGCTCGCACCCGTATGGATCTCGTAACAATGCCGCTTAAATTGGTCGCGTGAAAGCCAGGAAGGCTGATGTTACGAAAATATATAGTATGATCAATCAAAAGGTGAAGTTTTTATTAAACTCCAATTAATCTAAGAACTCAAGTCGAAATAACATAAAATTGTTAGAATCCTGTAATTAAGTTTGACTCTTGGATCAAAATTATGTTAATAAAATTATTAAAATCATTTTAAAACTTTTCATTACGATAACAGACACAGCAGCTGTAAAAATAATACTGTATTTATAATATCTGGTCTGTTTGCTCCATCTTAATAACGCAGAATAAGCCTCAAATGGGAGTCTCCGAGACCTTTGCTATACTTTCTTGCATAGAATTAAATTTTTTTAATTTACTAATATTCTTAAAAATTATTAAACTTATCAATATCATCATTTGAAAATAACTAAATTAATTCTTGAAATGTAAAAGAATACAAGCAAAGAACATATATAAAATGAAGAGAAATTATTCTTATTTCCCTTTTTTCTTCTAAAAGAGGGAATCTCTAAGATTCCACATCCATTAGTATAGAATAAAAAAGCATATCACAGTTAAAAATAAATCAATTGATTCTGTCCGTTGAATATAAGAAAATACAAGCTAAAGAACGTATATAAAATGAAGAGAAATTATTTTTATTTCCTTTTTTTCTTTTTAAAAGGAGGAATCTTTAAGATTCCACATCCATTAGTATGTAATAAAAAAGCATATCCACAGTTAAGAGTTAAGTATTCGTAGACTATCCATTTATACTCATCGGACGTCATACGATGCGAATGTATTCACGAAGACGGCAGCTCAATAAATTTCAATCGTCAGCTGGTTTAGGTAATTTGCATCATGAAAAGAATCTTTGTCTGATCGTCGTTCGAATGATGTCGTCTTGTTTACTAATTTCAGCTTCGATTAGATGCAATTTATCAAATTTAAACGTAATGGAGATAAAACAGTTTCTAAATTTTATGAAAGACTAATTATGAAATTTTTTATCGAGAGATAAAAGCATTTTTCGAAGCAAAAATTTTTGCTTTCGGCGATAGCCAAAGTTATTTAATTTCGACAATTTAATTCGATTTTAATTCGACAGTCTCGATACTGAGTGAAGGTATCATTAAATTTTATTCGTGTTATTTGAATTCCAAAAAATTTTTGCACCTACAATGAGATAAATACATATTTGGAAAAAAAAACAAACAAAGATTCTGAATACAAAAAGTTTAACAAAAAGTGTAAGCAACGAAGAGGTATAAAAATTTGCAAAATTTCTATATCCCATACGATCCGAAATGGCGAACTCGAGGTTAACGAACGATGTTGAAACAGCGAAATTGCTCGACTAAACGAAAAACTTTGACAGCGAGTCCTTCTCTCCACTTTCCATGTACACGCATTCACGGAAAAGATAGTTTTTCTGAAATATCTAAAAATTTAACTAGAGCTTTAAAAATATAGATCTAAAAATAATTTTGTTATATCATCAACATGATTATACCTACGACGCTCAAATTGGTTGCTATCAAAATTTTTTGCAGTGTATTTCTTATCATGTTTCAAATTCCTACGTAATTATATTGATAATCCAACAAAATTATTTTCATATTCGTGTGTATATATATATATATATATATA